TCTAACTGCACCTCCTGTTCCTGCTCTCCTCTTAATGTTCACTATTTCCCTCCATCTAGACGTTTTCCCCCTCTGTCACTCCTCCACGTCCTCCTCCTCATCCTCATCATCCTCCTCCTCTTCCTACTCCTTCGCCTCCTGATCCTCCCTCCTCCCTCCTCCCCCCTCATCCTCATCCTCATCCTCATCCTCATCCTCCTTCCTTTCCTTCACCTCTTCCATTTTCCGCGTCCTCACCCTTCCACGATTTCCCTCCTCTCCCTCCTCCTCCTCATCCTCCTCCTCCTCCTCCTCCTCCTTCTCATCCTCATCCTCTTCCTCCTCCTCCTCCTCCACCTCCTGCCTCCTCATCCCTTCTCCTAATCCATCTTCCGCCTTCTCCTTATCCCCCTGAACCTCCTGCTCCTCCTCCTCATCATCCTCCCTCCTTCTCATCCCACCTCCTCATCCTCCCCCACTTCCGCCTCGTTCCCCATCCGCTCCCCCCGCTGGATGCCTCCTACGCTGATGGGGCTGGAGCAGACGGGGCCGAGACGCAGCGCATCGGCGGTGCATCGACGAGTCGTCGTCAGCGGAGCGGGCACGGAGGAAACAACGCGCTGCACGGGCGATTCGGAGGCCAGGGAAGATCGAGGCACTCGACAGCTGATATCTGCCCCGCTCGACCCCCCTCGAGGATCGGGGGTCGATCCCAGAGGCTCAAGGGTGGAGGTTGGGAACCGAAGCAGGGGCGCTGACTGAGCTAAACCATATCTCCTCCTGCCACTCCTCCTCCTCCCCCTCCTGCTCCTCCTCCTCCTCCTCCTCCTCAGCATCATCATCATCATCATCATCATCATCATCATCATCATCATCATCATCATCATCATCATCATCATCATCATCATCATCATCATCATCATCATCATCATCATCATCATCATCATCAGCATCATCATCATCATCATCATCATCATCATCATCATCATCATCATCATCATCATCATCATCATCATCATCATCATCATCATCATCTCATCATCATCATCATCATCACATCATCATCATCATCATCATCATCATCATCAGCATCATCATCATGATCATCATCATCATCACGATCATCATCATCATCATCAGCATCATCATCATCATCATCATCATCATCTTCATCATCAGCATCGTCATCAGCATCATCATCATCTTACTTCCTGCCCTTCCCCACTCGCACGTGGGGGAGGGAGGCGAAGACGATGACGATGATGCTGATGATGACGACGACGACGACGACGATGATGATGATGATGATGATGATGTTGCTGATGATTATGCTGATGATATTGATGAGAATTATGATGAGGATGATGATGCTTATGGTGATGATGATGACAATGACAATGACAATGACAATGATGATAATGATGCTGCTGATGATGATGATGATAATGATGATGATGATGATGATGATGATGATGATCATGATGATGATGATGATGATGATGACGCTGATGATGAGGATGATGATGATGATGATGATGATGACAACGATCCAAGACATCAGCGTGGACATCCGAAGTTTTTCGGTCAGGTTTTTTTGCTGAGCGCGTCGCGGCGGCGGCCCCAACGATACGCCCTACGCCCTGGCCTGCTAGCTGGTGGCGTGTCGCTCCGCTCCGCGGGACGGTAGGCGCGCGGAAAGGCTCGGGACAGTGACGCTCGGTGAGTGACTGCGACGTGGATCGCGTGTCGCTCCGAGGCGCGGTGGCCCAGAACTGGAGGAGCGACACGCTGAGCCAGAGTTCCTGACCGCATGCGTCTGCCATTTTTTGTTCCTCGACGCCTGTGACCCCTCCCCCGGCATCCATTGAGCAGGGACCGACCGTCCAGGCATTTCTATAGGCCTATCACGACATGTTCTTAGAACCCAGAAATGTTCGAGGAACAAGCACAATGCTCTCAGGACAGAAACCCGATGTGTGAAAACAAGACAGTCCCATCCAGAAATGTCCTAAGAACCACAGAAGGTTCTTATAACATTCTTTGGTAGGCCTATAGGCACGCCTGGACGCTTCGCCGCTGCTTGTACCCGACGGACGCGAGCCGAGCCGGGGCGGAATCCGAGCCCGCCACCGCCGTGGGGTCCAGCGCCCCGGCCTTCTTGCCGCCAAAGAGGCCCGCGGAGGCCGCCGAGCTGCCCAAGCGCCGGGTGGGATTCTTCGCCTCCGCAGGCGAAGGGCAACGATAGGGCTCGGCTGCGCGCAGAGGGGGGTGGGGCGGGGGGAGGTTCTTAGAAGCACCCCTGCTCCTTAGAGGGCGGGGGCTTCATCTATAGATGTGAGGCTGGCGCCTTCTAAGAAGCAGCCTCCTTCTAAGAAACCTTCCCCCCTCCCTCCACCCCCTTGTGCGCGCCGCCAATGGGTGACCCCCAGATCCTGGCGTTACACTTTGTTGACAACGTGGGAGGCGTGGAAGTCGACGCCGGGAGCAACGTCGGCGGTGTGTGCTCCCGATCTCGGCGGGTGGTGGTAATCTGTTGTTGGCTTCCTGGGTGGCCGATGTAGTAACAACAAGACCGAGTTCTAGGATCATTTTCCCCCTGTTGAGGCATGCCCGTGTGTTGGCGCTGTGCCCATGTCCAGGCCTCCAGCAAACGAGCGTTTTCGCCCGGTTTCGGGACCCAGGACCCTCACAGATCGACCCGGCTCGGAAGATAACGCGCAAAGACGGGGTCGGGGGTTCCGGTCGCGACGTTCTGCGTCGTGACTTTTGCTTGCAGCGTCGCATCTCAGGGTGAGGGCCTCTGGAGCAGGGACCGACCCGCCCCAGCAGGCCTGCAGGCCTACCACGAGATCTGTCTCCTGAACCAAAGGAGGTCCGAAGCGCATGAGTTACTCGTCGTGCAGATCCTCAGATGTGCATCCCGTGCTCCTGCCACGCTTTGCTGAGGAGCTCTGTCCTCGAGCATCTGGGCGTGCGAGCGAGTCCGCGCAGACGGCAGGCGCAGCAGTGCCGACGACGGCGACGACTTCGGTGACGCCCTCCTCCTCTGGGCATCTTGCAGGACAGACGAGGCAAACTGGCAGAGCGAGGGGGTGTCTCTTGTCGTTCTCCCCGCGCCATCTCAGGCAAGCACGCAGGGCGTTGCTACGCCCGCTCTCTGGCGCGCTACTCGCGGCGCCTGCTGGCACTCCAGGTGCCCAAGTGCCATGCTGGCTACATCGCGGTACAAGGTCGTGTGTGTGAACCCTAGTTAGAATCTGAACGCTGGTGACCTGAGTATGGGCGAATCGAAGTGCGAGTGGAATCCGGAACGATCGGGCCTGAGCGTGAGCATGGATATAGTCAGTGTGAGTACGAGTGAGCCTGAGTATGAGCAAGTCTGAGTGCTAGCGAGTCTAAGTGCGAGCGGGTCTGCGTGTGAGTGAGTCTGGGTGTGGTGAGCCTGAGTTCCAGCGTGATGAATACAAATATGAATATGAATGAGTATGAGTTTCAGTCTGAGTATGAGTGAAGATGCGGTCTGGTAAGACTGAGTGCGAGTAAGTCTTCGTGTGAGTTGGTCTGGGTGTGGGTGGGTCTGCGTTTGAGCGAGTCTGAGAATGAGCGGGTGAGTATGCGTGCGTCTGGGTATGACCAAATATGAATATGAGCGAGTCTGAATGTGATGACTTAGTCTGAGTGGGGAAGAGGCAGTTCGTATGCGAGTGGGTGCGTCCGAGTGGAGAACAGAGAGAGAAGGTGAGTGAATGAGTGAGTGCGTGAGTGAGTGCGTGAGTGAGTGAGGAGCACACAAGTCCAAAGAAAAGTCCGGGGGGCAGAAACAGGCAAACCGCCTGAGGCATCCCGCCAACCTGAGCGCGAATCCTCAAGTGCCGCCACCCCTGGCGGCTCCGCCTTTGGGTCCTCAAACGCCACGCCTGCGATATCACGGTGAACATTGGACCACGAAACGAATAAAGCCGGCCAAATCTGAACGCGAATCCTGGAGTGTCCCCACCCTTGGCGCCTCTCCCATGGGGTGCCCAAGTGCAACGCCTGCAAGATAGCTGTGAGCAACGGACCACAATAAGCGATAAGCCTGGGGTGGCAGAAACAGTCACGCCTGCCAGATCGCGGTGAGCAGTGGACCACCAAAAGAAACATGTCGGAGCAGAAACAGGCAAAACGCCAGAGACACCCTCACAGCCTGCTCTGAAAGCAAGGGGTGTTGGGCACCCAAACGAGCAAAACGCCTCGATCATACCCACAATCTGGGCGTGAACAGGGATGGAGGTACACACTGGTGGCTCCCCCTGGGAATGCTGAAACCAGCGCCTCGCCTGAGACATCCTTGCAGTCTGCTCTGAAAGCAAAGGGTGTTGGGCACCCAAACAGGCAAACCGCCTGGGACGTCCCCACTTCTGGAGGCGAACGAACGGGTGCGACACCCCCTGGAGGCTCCCCCTTGGAGTGCTGAAACCATAGCTTCGCCTGCGACATCCTCAGTCTGCGCGCGTGAACGATTATGAGCACATGCAGCAAATGCGAGTCTGAATGAGGGAGAGATGTGACTAAGTATGGGTGAAGGGACGAGTGAGCCTGAGTAAGGGCGAGCCTGAGGGAGGAAGTGATGTGACTTAGTCTGAGTATAAGTGATTCTGGACATGAGTGAGTCTGGATGTGAGTCGGTCTGGATGCGAGTGGGTCTGAGTATGAGTGAGTCCGAGTGTGAAAAGTGAGTGTGAGCGTGAGCGTGAGGAAGAGGAGAAGGAGGCAGGTTGGGGAAGAGGGAGGAATAGTCGACGCAGTCTGAGTGATAACAAAAACATTATTGGGACATAGGAACCGTGTTCTCATGATATAGCACCGATGTGTTGAAACAAAGCGGCCTCAACCAGAAATGCTCTAAGAACACGTCGTGCAAACCGAACAAGGTCATTTACAACATTAGTGGGGCTTATAAGGAAGGCAGTCGCGGGTGGGTCGCAGGGTGGGCGCAAGTTGAGTCGCGGGGTGGTCGCGGGGTGGGTAGCGGGCGGGTCGCGGGCGGGTCGCGGGCGAAGACGACGACAACGACGCAACGCATGATTAACAACAGTCCACACAACGGAACCCCACTTCAGCCTCGCACCCAGGGACAATGAATGACCGTGCGGCACCTTCACTCTGACCGATGCTCCAGGGGCGCGTTCTGACCAGGATTCCGAGGCTAATCCAGCCATGGCGACGAGGTAAGTGCACGGTCAGGGTATCGGATAAGGAGTCATTGGATACAAGCCCACTTGTAAGGAATCCGGGGTCTGGAAGACGGTGGAACTCAACTCGTGGATTGGCCATGGATATCACCGCCGCCTTCATCAGATAAGGAACCCTCCAGGGTCTGAAGCCAGCTGAGCACATTCATTAACCAACGCCCCCACCATAGCATATGGGTAGATCCTGTTCCCCGCTGACAGGAGGCCGTCCAGCAGGTTCGTGTCGTGTCGAATTCGGCGTTGGTTCCGGACACTGCGGGGATAGTTCAACCTAGAACGATCGGCCGTTTCCGAAACGTCAGATCGTTCAACACCTTTGCGGAAGCCACGACAATGGACACCCTAACAGTCCTATCATTGAATTAAAAGTGTGTTGGACATGTCGGAAACATGTTATAAAAATGTTTGACCATGTTTTGTTTGTACACGAAGAGTTTAAACACATTCTCTCACATCTGGAATCTGGAAGTTACTTGGCAACATGGCTCCTCTCCATTGATCGTCCTCCACAACATCTACCGATTCTGGGTCGCCGGCGGCGTCCAATGTTGAACGCGGGATGCGAACCTACAGTATGCATCACGCCAAGGGGGCCAGTCAAACCATAAAACTAAAATTCTCGATGCATATTAGAAAAAATAGTTTGCTTCCTACTTTTTGACTATGTTTAAATTTTCCTCCTGTAGAGGGACATGCCCGACTTAATCGTCGCCCTGGAAGTCGACGATGAGTTGTGCCCCCAAACGTGCGACGGCGTCCTGAATTTTTCAAGACGGCGTCCCCGGAAACCCAGACCTTTCCCCAGGACCGGTTTTTCATCCTTAGTGGTCTTTTGACGGTCCCGGGGCCTGGCGAGGGCCCCCCGAGGCCGAACATAATGAAACACTTGCCGCCTGATGTTTTTACGGCGCGATCATGTCTGGGTCTCTGTGTTTTTCCCCTCCTGACAGCTGCGCCCCCCCCCGGCGTGCCGCCTGCAGCCGCTGTATGCTGGCCGCCCTCGCCGGCCGCGCGCCGGCCACGGGAGCGGGCTCCGGGAGGCCGCTGGCGCGCCTGCGGCCGGGAGGGGGCGCGGGGGGGGCGGGAGGCGGGGACGGGGACGAGCATCTGATCCTCATCGCTCCTCTCTCTTTCTCCCCCTGCCCCTGCTGATGCGGCTCGTCTTCCGCCTCGTCCTGCTGCCAGTGATCCTTCCCGTGGCCATCCTCCTCCTCCACCTCTTCCGCCTCCTCCTCCTCCTCTTCCGCTCCTCCCCCCTCTTCCTCCTCCTTCTGTTCTTCCGCCCCCTCTTTCTCTTGCGCCTCCCGGGCCTCTTCCTCCTTTTCTTCCTCCTCTTTCTCCTTCTTCTCCTCCTCCTCCTCCAGAGAAGCCCTGAGATCCGAGGATGTGACTTTTTCCATCAGCCTGGCGGTTTTTCCTGGGGTTCGGTCTCCCGCGCCCGTTTATCAGGCTGGGGGGCCGTTAACAAAAAATTGATCCGAGACGAAGAAGCACCACCCAGGGAAGGGGTGGGGACCTCTGCGGATTCAAAAGAAGCAGATCGGCGCATGTCTGGGAATGCAGCCTTCCGGCCTTCCAGGAACCCGGCTCGGGGGGCATCCTCGCGACTTTGGGGAACGGCAAGAAGAGGTCTGGTTCAAGAAGGGTGAATTCGACGGCTGCTGGGGCGCCTCGGGTCGAGCCGGGGGGGTCCCGGGTCGTGGCTAGGGGGGGGTCCTCAGGTCTAGCGGAACCAGCCTTGTCCAACGAACCCTGCTGGCAGCCTCTGAAACTCCCACGGCCTTGGGTGAGAGAGCGCCCTCCCGCTCCTCGGGCCGCATCTGCTTCCCGATCCCTCGAGCGCAGGGGAGTTCCGGCCGATGCCGGGTAAGCTTTTCCTCGAGCCAAAATTTTCCTGCTCGGCCTCAGGGGCGCCTGGCCCCTCAGTCCACTACCCCCCCGTCCAGGGTAAGGGGGCGACCGGCAAGGTTCTGGGGAAAGTCCTGGAGACCTCGCGCGGCAACTTGAAACCCATTTCACGCCGGATCCACGCAGGATTTACGTCGGTTTCACGTCGGGTTGCGTCGGGATCACGTCGGACTCACGTCGTATTTACGTTGGGCTTGCGTCGGTTTCGCGTCGGCCTTACGTCAGGGGGGGCGCAGCGAAGCGACGCGCGCAGATCCGCGGAAGCAGGACCCTTGAGGGTCAGCGCGGGGGGGGGCGGGACCCTTCTACCTTGGTGTCGGCGTTCACCTGGGGGCCATGGAGTGCGTGATAAATCCCACGTGCCCTCTGGGCGTAGGTGGTTCAATTTTGTCATTTCTCCCCCGCTCTCTCTGCCAAAATCTCTCCTTTCCCTGCTCGGGCGAAAGGTTTATGGTTGTTCCCTAAAAATATACACTCCCTCCCCCAGGCGACCGTCAACCAACCACGAGAAATGAGGACCCCATGAGGGCCCACCACCATCCCTGTGACAAAAACAATACGACATGCACTTTGGGGCCAAATCTGGAGTCATGTTCGTGAGGCCCGCGAGCGCTTTGCATCGTTTTTTGACGGGGACGGCGGGGGTGTCAGCATATTGCCTGCTGTGCGCAGGGCTACCATCCCCGATAAAAGACAATACAACATGCACGTCGCGGCTAAATCTAGATCATGCGCGGCCAACCGCGATCACAGTCAAGTGGTGGCGTATGGCCTGCTGTGCGCCAGCCCAATAGACACATTGATGGGCATTGGCTTTCGACATGAATGGAGGGGACCGACATGTTTCCCGATGTGTGCTTTCACGTGCGCAGGCGAACCTGACACACTCTGCACGTGCCCCGAACGTGGCGCACCTGGCGCGGCTGGAGCATGCGGCACACCTGGCGCACGCGGAGGCACGTGGCCCATCTGGCGCACCAGGCGTCCCTGGCACGCTCGGGCCCCAGGGGCACCTGGCGCGCGTGGCGCGCCTGGCACGCATTGCGCACCTCGCCCCAGCGTCGCGCGCATGCCGGGGGGAGGAGGAGCGCACGTACTCAAAAAGGAAGAGACGAGGGCAAGCGGACAAGACGCGAGACGAGGGCAAGAAGCTCGCACGCGTCCGATTGCAGGCGCCGATCTGCTTCCAGAACATTGATTCGATGGAATCGCACTATGCCTGTAGATGATGCAGTGCTGCGACCCGCGCAGAGGCGATAGCAGCGGCGTGAATGGGCGAGCCAACATCGGCTCGCCACTTCAGAATATGAAACAGCTGCGTGGCCAGCGCCACCGCGCGTACACAGTCAATGCGCGGTCGCGCTCTATGCTCACTCAGGTGGCCTTAGCCGAAAAAAACGTGGCGTCGCTGCTCAGCTCACTCTCCTCCGCTGGCGCTGCGGCCGCGCCACGGAGCACAGGGCACACAATGTAGTGCGACAGGTCGTCGCGCGCCTCGCAGCCCATGATGCACAGGCGGGGCGCTATGACGCGCATCCTGCCCGACGTGATCCAGCCGTTGGAGATGGTGCGCAACCACGACCACATCCAGGCGGGGCGCGCTGCGCGCAGCACGGCGCGCAGCTCCAGCCAGCGGCTCCGCAGCTCCTCGGCGGGCACCTCCATCCCCTACCGCCGCTGACGGTGGCCGATCAAGTGGTCGAAGCGTTCCGGGAGGAGGAGGAGGAGGAGGAGGAGGAGGAGGAGGAGGCTTCTGTGTCGGGAGGGCGGGTGGGAGTGGAGCTGGACGGCTACTAGCCAGGAGGGCGTCTTGACCCATCCCCGTCCGAGCGATGCCAGGGCTGAGGCTCGGGTGTTACTTCTGTGTTGGGAGGGCGGGTGGGAGTGAGCTGGACGGCTGCTAGCTAGGAGGGTGTCTTGACCCGTCCCCCATACCCCCTCCCTTGGGCCTGGGAGGGCGGGGGGGGGGCGGTGGGGTTAGAGCGTCCAAGATGGCCCAAGATGGCCCCAGAAGGGTCTCAGAGAGCCCACAGTGACCTCCAAGATTGCCTAAGAGACCCCCAGATGGCTCAAGGCAGCCTCCGACAAACACCCAAGAGGTCCCAACACGACGCCAAGACGGTTTCATGTGCCCTCTGAGCCCTCCAAGGACCCCCCCAAGAGGCCAAACGACCCTTCAAGATCCGAGGGAAAATCAATGTTGCTAGTCTTCTCGCATTTTCGATTCCGATTGGCTCTTGAGGTCCCAAGATAAGATGGCCCTACGACGGCCCAAGACAGCTCCAAGAGGGGCCCAAGAGGGGTCCCAAGAGTGCCCAAGAGCGCCCCAAGAGGGCCTCAAGACATAATTTCTGAGCCCCCGAAAGGGGGGACCTTGATGTACTCCCTCCCCCTCCGTTGGAGCCATGGGGCCCAAAACGGCCCCAAGAGCCCCCCCAGAACCCGCCAAAGAGCCCCAAGAGGGCCCCTAGACCCCCCAAAGGAACCCCAAGAGGGCCCAAAGTGGTTCCGCGAGGACCCCAAGAGAGACCCAAGACGGCTCCAAGAGACATGCGAGAAAGCACTTCCAAGGCGGCTGTTACACTGCATGCTTCTACACTTCCCTGATAAAAGGCAACTCGCCTGGCGATCTGTGTCTGAATGGGCCGGTGGGGATACTTTTTGGTTGGCGGGCGCGCGAAACAAGTCGAACGCCGAGCGTGCTACGGGCTGGTGGGGGTACTTATCCGTCGTGGCCGCAGGCGAAGGCGCCAGCAGTGTCAGCAGAGTCAGCTCGGGCTACGAGCTACCTAATTGCCGGCGCGCGCGCCGAGCTAGGCAGGACCTACCGCCGGGGGAAGCCGCAGCGCCGGGGCAGAGTTGCGCCGCAACTGCTGGTGGGGATACCTTTTTTTTGGTACGAGCGGACGCGGATTCGCAATCGCCGAATTGAACTGGTGGGGATATTTTTTTTTGGTCGGCGGCTCCGAAGCGGCGGACAGGGAGCGGAAGGCGTCGTCTGGGCCAGCAGGCGAGGCTAACTAGCTACAACAGGCAACGCACCTGCAGTAATAACTCGCAAAGAATGCGAGGTGTGCACATGCATTGGGCAAAATGCTCCGCATTAAGGCGAACGCACCTAGGCGCCAGCCACACCGAGGTGAAGCAGACCGCAGTGCTATGCAACGGAAAAAAATGGTGGGGATACGCGAAGCGTCAAGAATTGTCCTTCCACACGTACCTTTCGCAGGCAAGGTGCGAGATGCCACTGTCTTGGATACCAGGAAGCTGGAGACAGGAGAAATGACCCGGGACAGGGGGAAAGGGGAGGAAAAGTGAAGAGCGGGTTGGCGAATCAGCTCGCGTGTCTGCTCATCACCCAGACGGACCGGTGCTGCGCGAGTGCGCTCAGACGCTGGGCAGGCGTTGCGCAGCCGATCGGGGAGCCACAACGTGCAAGCCGCCAGAGCAGAGCGAAGCGACGAGCGACAAAAAGCGCACTGCAGCGCGCGGGCAGCAGCAGCAGCAGCACACGGCAGGAAGGGGGGCGCGGCCGGCACAGAGGAGCAGGGAGGACAGTCGGAGAGCAGCCAAGGGAGAGGGGGCAGAAGAGCAAGCGGGGGAGAGAGAAGAGAGCGAATCAGCTTCCGCAGCTGGTCGTCTCAGCCCCCCTGGCGCTGGAGGCGCCCACACACACATACATACGTGCGTGTGTGCTTATATCTGTATATGTATACACATGCGCGTGCAACGTTACATATACATCTATGTACATGCATATAAAAATATATATATATATATATATATATACATACAAACATATATACATATATGATCATATGTACATGCTCATATGCATATGCATATGTAAGTAGTTAGATGTACGAGTACATATGTACTACATAAATACCCGTATATACGTCTACTCTATAACTATACCTGTATGTATATCTATATACGTATCACCGTATCGAGGAAAGCGATCGGCGGCGGGGCCAGATCCTCCCCCCTTTCCCCATCCCCCCTTGTCGGCTCGACCCGATTGGTGGGCAGAGGGGGGGGGGCATGCTTATGGCAGGGATTGGCGCCTTCTGTTCTGGCAAAGACCAGAGACGTACTTCCAGGCCTAGCGGTGCCGCGGCGGCCACGGTTCCACCCAAGGTGTGTACCGTATCCCAGCATTTGTTACCCGACGAAGAACGGTATAAAATAAGCTTGTCCGCCGTCGGGGATGCCTACCCCACGACGGCTGGAAAATTCATACCCCGACGTGCCACCATACGGGTATAAAAAGTCCAGCTACCCTGGGTCAGGCGTCCCAGGCGGCGGAAAAGTTTATTGTGTAGCGTCCTTCGTCCGACAATTCTGGGCATCCCTGATCCCGAGGTGGACCCTGAGGCCCTCTCTCCAGAGCACGTTCGCTCTGGGGTGCGTACGTTCTTCCTCCCCTGATTCCCGGAGGCTTCTGAGGAGGCCTCTTGGAAGGCAAGAGGGCTTCTGAGCGGTGAGTCTTCTCTACAATGGATCGACGACCTCCTGAGAGAGGCTTTCGGGAAGGCTGTTGACGGCAGGGGGGCCCTCCAGCGATGCGGTGCGGGGGCATCCTTAGAACGCCCCCCCTCGACTGCCCCCCTCCTGCGCGACGCCGCGCCTGGCCGCGGCGGCGACGGCCTCCGGGTTGAGGGCGCGCACCTGCGACCCGGTCCACTTGCGCTTCGCGCCCTCCCTGGAGGCCGCGGCGCTGGCCTCGGCGCTGGCCCTGGGGTCCTGGCCGCACAGCGTGGCACCGCTCTGGCCCGCCACGGCCAGGAACACCGTCCTGCCCGCCACGAGGGCCACGGCCGCGCCGCAGCCCTCGAGGCCCGGCTGGCTCTGAATCAGCTCGCCGTTCAGGTCGCAGAGGCTTCCGCTCAGCGCGCGCCTGATGTCCCCAGTGCTGCAGCTCGGCCCCTCCAGCTTGGCCAGCCGGCCGAGCACCTTCGTGTGCAAGCCCTTCGCGCAGTGCTCCGCGGCCATCGGGTTCCCCTCCCAGACGGAGTACAGCGCGCACGGGGAGCTCAACGGTGGCGTCTTCACCTTCAAGGCCGCGGCGACCTTGGCGAGGTCGGGTATCACAACGTGCTTCGTGCTCCCTTTTGTCTTCAGGTCTGCCTTACGTGTGCAGTAGCCCTCTGCCAGCAGCTGCAGCGGCACGGTGCCCGCCGGCGGCGCCCCGGGTGGCAGCGGCGGTCGCCCGCCAGGCGTGGGCGGCAGCCCCGCGCTACCCAACTGTGCCCCAGACGGCAGTGGCGCTACGCTGCCATCGGCTGGCCCGCCCGGCGGCCGCCCTGGCGGCAGCGGCGGCACAGCGGCTGCGCTGGGCGGCTGCCCAGGTGGCAGCGGCGGCGCATCAGCGCTAAAGGGCGGCCGCCCTGGCGGCAGCGGCGGCGCACCGGCGCCGCTGGGCGGCTGCCCTGGCGGCAGCGGCGGCGCATCGGCGCCGCTGGGCGGCTGCCCCGGCGGCAGCGGCGGCGCATGGGCGCCGCTGGGCGGCCGCCCTGGCGGCAGCGGCGGCGCACCGGCGCCGCTGGGCGGCTGCCCCGGCGGCAGCGGCGGCGCATCAGCGCCGCTGGGCGCCCCTGGCGGCAGCGGCGGCGCATCGGCGCCGCTGGGCGGCCGGCGGCAGCGCGGCGCATCAGCGCCGCTGGGCGGCCGCCCCGGCGGCAGCGGCGGCGCATCGGCCCCGCTGGGCGGCCGCCCTGGCGGCAGCGGCGGCGCATCAGCGCCGCTGGGGCCGCCCCGGCGGCAGCGGCGGCGCATCAGCGCCGCTGGGCGGCCGCCCCGGCGGCAGCGGCGGCGCGCCGGTGGGCGGCAGCCCGGGCGGCAGCGGGGGCGCGCCGGCGCTGCCGGGCGCCTGCCCGGGCGGCAGTGGCGGCGCACCAACACTGCTGGGCGGTAGCCCAGGAAGCAGCAGCGGCGGCGCATGACCCCCTCACTGTGGGCGGACACCCCGGCGGCAGCGGCGGCGCACAGGCGCCCCTGATGGCGCCTGCCCCGGCCACCCCAGCCCGTCGGCTCGCACGCCCGCTGCCAAGGAATCGATTGGGGAGAGGCGGGACCTCAAAAGACACCACACCCCTATCCGTCCGAAGCTCCCTCCCACGCGGAAGGGATCAAAACACTACCAAGCGCTCCTGCCTCGCTGGATGCGGCGCGTAAGCTGTGCTGATGCCGCGGGCTCCCCCTCCCCAAAAAGGCCTGGCACTGCCTGCCTGTAACAAGCAGGCGCCACACGGTGGAATCATTGGACAAGGACTGGTTGGTCAAGGAGCCCACGTACAGCGTCGCCTCCTCCTCCTCCTCCTCCTCCTCCTCCTCCTCTTCTTCTTCCTCTTAGTATTAGTAATACGTTTTTCAATATTAGCATTCGTACTCTTATTTGTATTCTTCCTGTTATGCGTATCATTAGTAGTATTAGGACTAGTATTAGAAGTATTCGTATCATTCGCATTCTTCTTATTCGTATCATTATTACGATTAGTATACGTATTAGTATTGTTACGACTCGTAATATTATTAATATTACTAGTCTTACTACTAGTATTGTTAACAATAATAATCAGATTACTATGTTTATTATTATTATCCTTCTTACTACTCCTCCTCCTCATCCTCCTCCTCCTCCTCCTCCTCGAGGCTCCTCCGCCCTCCGTCCGAGGCCTCCTCGAGCCCCTGCGGCCCCTGCCGGCCCTGGACCCGGTGTGCCGCCAGACCCCGCACAGACTGCGAGGACCTCAGTCGCCCCAGAGTTTCGGTACAGTCGGGGCGTTGACCTAAGGAACCCTAAATAAGGAACGAGGCCCCGTTTTTCCATAAGTTAACCTTCGATTTCCTGTCGAAGACATAAGGAAAGCCTGAGGTAAACTGTGAAACACTTAAGGAACGCGGAGCCCCTTCCAAACGAAAAGGGTTCCTTCTCCAGGGCCCCGACTGTAGCATTCAAGGGGGGGCGTCCACGAGGGGGGAGCGCGCAAATCCTGGGACGAGGCGTGTGCGCGGACGAGGGGGGGGGGGGCCACGGGACGCAGTGCAAGAAGGGCCATGGGATCCAGTGAGGTTTCGTGGCCCCAGCCATGAGATCCACCCATCTCCTAACTCATCATCACCCCCCTCTCGGCCGCCCCCGAGAGTTCCGCCCTGCCCGAGGAGCTCTCCCCGGCAGACGGCTGCTCCGCGAGCCCGAAGCTTGGCAGTGCTCGCGGGCAGCGCCTAGGCGGCTCCTAGGAGCAGCGCTTCCCGGGTTCGCGGGCAGCGCCTGAGCAGCTCCTGGGGGCAGCGCTTCCAAGGATCCAGCTCCTAGGCGGATCCTAGAGGCAGCGCTTCGTAGGCTCGTTGGACGCGCCTGGGCACCGACTTGGCGGTGCTTTCTGAGGCCAGCGCCGCCACTGGGGCCTCTGGAGGAGCTCCCTATGGGGCCACGAAGCCTGTGAGGGGTGTGCCGAATTGGGTGTGCGGGACGCATGCGCATGTGAGCGCCGCCACTGGGGGCTTCGGTGGAGCTCTCTGTGGGACCACGAATCGTGTGAGGGGTATGCCGAATTGGGTGTGCGGGACGCATGCGGGCGGCGGCATTGGGGCCTTCGGTGGAGCTCCACGAAACGTGTGCGGGGTGTGCCGACTTGGCTGTGCGGGACGCATGGGCGCGGCGGCACTGGGGCCTTCGGTGGAGCTCCCTATGGGACCACGAAACGTGTAAGAGGTGTGCCGAATTGGGCTTGCGGGACGCATGCGGGCGGCGGCACTGGGGCCTTCGGTGGAGCTATGGGGCCACGAAACGTGTGAGGGGTGTGCCGAATTGGGTATGCGGGACGCATGCGGGCGGCGGCACTGGGGCCTTCGGTGGAGCTCCCTATGGGACCACGAAACGTGTGAGAGGTGTGCTGAATTGGGCTTGCGGGATGCATGCGGGCGGCGGCACTGAGGCCTTCGGTGGAGCTCCCTATGAGGCCACGAAACGTGTGAGGGGTTTGCCAAATAGGGTGTGCGGGACGCATGCGGGCGGGGGCACTGGGGCCTTCGGTGGAGCTCCAAATGGGACCACGACACGTGTGAGAGGTGTGCCGAATTGGGCTTGCGGGGCGCATGCGGGCGGCGGCATTGGGGCCTTCGGTGGAGCTTATGGGGCCACGAAACGTGTGAGGGGTGTGCCGAATTGGGTGTGCCGGACGCATGCGGGCGGCGGCACTGGGGCCTGCGGTGGAGCTCCCTATGGGGCCACGAAACGTGTGAGAGGTGTGCCGAATTTGGCTTGCGGGACGCATGCGGGCGGCGGCACTGGGGCCTTCGGTGGAGCTATGGGGCCACGACACGTGTGAGGGGTGTGTCGAATTGGGTATGCGGGACGCATGCGGGCGGCGGCACTGGGGCCTTCGGTGGAGCTCCCTGTGGGGCCACGAAACGTGTGATGTGTGTGCCGAAGTGGGTGTGCGGGACGCATGCGGGCGGCGGCACTGGGGCCTTCGGTGGAGCTCCCTATGGGGCCACGAAACGTGCGAGGGGTGTGCCGAATTGGGCTTGTGGGACGCATGCGGGCGGCGGCACTGGGGCCTTCGGTGGAGCTCCCTATGGGGCCACGACACGTGTGAGGGGTTTGCCAAATAGGGTGTGCGGGACGCATGCGGGCGGCGGCACTGGGGCCTGCGGTGGAGCTCCCTATGGGGCCACGAAACGTGTGAGGGGTATGCCGACTTGGGTGTGCGGGACGCATGCGGGCGGCGGCACTGGGGCCTTCGGTGGGGTGGAGCTCCCTATGAGGCCACAAAACGTGTGAGGGGTGTGCCGAATTGGGTGTGCGGGACGCATGCGGGCGGCAGCACTGGGGCCTTCGGTGGAGCTCCCTATGGGGCCACGTGAAGGGTATGCCGACTTGGATGTGCGGGACGCATGCGGGCGGCGGCACTGGGTCCTTCGGTGGAGCTCCCTATGGGGCCACCAAGCGTGTAAGGGGTTTGCCAAATAGGGTGTGCGGGACGCATGCGGGCGGCGGCACTGGGGCCTTCGGTGGAGCTCCCTATGGGGCCTTCGGTGGAGCTCCCTGTGGGGCGTGCCGAAGCTGATGCCGAAGCTGGTGGCGATGATGGTGACGATGAGGACGATGATGATGACGATGATGATGACGATGATGATGACGGGAGGAGGGAGGAGGGGGAGGAGGGGGAGGGGAGGAGACGCGGGGACGGTCTCTTCAAAACGAGGACCCAACACCACAGGATGGTTGGGAAAAACATCGCAGGAGCAGCGGTCCGCGGAGTGTCGCCCCGCTCGGGTGGGGGGGGGCGCAGGCACTCGCCAAGCCGCGGCGCCCGCAGGCCACGCCAGCGCCTACGACGACGGCCACGGCCTCGACCTCGTCGTCGACGTCGTCGTCGTTCTCGACCTCCTGGTCCCTCGTCCTGGGACTCATCGTCCCGCGACGAGTCCGAAGCCGAAGGCCACGACGAGGCGATCGCGATCGCGCGCACGACGACGACGACGACGACGACGACATTGGCGGCGGCGGCGGCGACGATGACGACGTCGAGGACTGCGGCGTCAGCAACGCCGGCGGCGGCAGCCGCGCGAAGGCGAGGCCGAGCGCGGCACCCCTGGCGGCAGCGGCGGTCGCGCCGCCCCGTCCGGCGCCATCGCCGCCGGCGCGCCCCGCGAGCCGCCGACCACGCGTCGGGGTCGAGGTTCGGATTGGGGGAGGGAGGACGATAGGAGGATCATGATACTGGTGGTGGTGATGATGGTGGTGTCGATGATGTGGGCGATGATAAAAAATGGTGTTGATGATGATAATGCTGATGATGATGATAGTGTTGATAGTGATGGGGAGGATGCTGATCATTACGATGATGGTAATGATGATAAAGGTGATGATGACGATGGTGATGGTGAGGATGGAGATGCTGCTGGTGACAGTGTTGATGATGATGATGGTTGTGATGATGCTGATGATGATGTTGATGACGATGAAGATGATGGTGCTCATGATGGTGGCTGGTGGTGGTGATGGTGATGATCATGGTGATGATGGTAATGAAATTGGTGATGATGCCGATGGGGATCATGACACTAACTATGATGATGATAGTGATGGTCATGGAGATGATGATGATGATGATGTTGATGATGATGGTGATGACGACGATGATGCTTGTAAAGATGATGATGATGATGATGATGATGATGGTGTGATGACGATGGTCATAATGATCATGGTGATGATGGTAACGCCGATATGGATGATGATGGCGATGATGCTGATGTTAGTGTTGATGGTGGTGATGATGATGGTTGGGTCAATGAACGTGCTGATGATTATGACGGAGATGGCAATGACGATGGTGGTGATGATGACAAGCCTGATGATGCTGATC